AAAGAAAGTCCCCTCGCAAATCCAGTTCCCAGCGCTCAATTGTCATTTATTTATCCCCGCATGCAGTTAAACATCTGTTTATTTGTTTGACAGATCTACGTTGACGCCAATTCTCACGCTAAATCCCGATCTCGGGTTACGCGCGACATGCCGGCAACGCTCTGCAAGACAAACATGCGGCCTTGCACTTCCCTCATATTGATTACTACTTATGCCATGTGCTCTCAGACAAAAGGAAAACAATGTACTGTGTGCCCTGACTGTTTTTTTATACGCTTCATTTGGACTTTTGCAGACTGAGAACGACTCCGGGTACAAAACTTTGGGTGAAAAGTATAGCTTCCAGGGTACAATGGATTTTTTTCTGGAATGACAATTTCATCTGTTTAACCCCTGGCTTGTACATCTTGGGAACATCTGTGCCTTTTTGACCCCAAATTTGACGCACCCAATGTGGAGACTTGACTTTTCATGTATAGCAGCTTGTCAGTGGGATATTAGTCAAAGCTATTGTGGACCTTTTACTGCCTGGGAACATTTTTGCACCTGAGTGGATTGGGACCAGGTACTAAATTTGGAGGCCAATATTTTGAATGCTATGCTGCTGATTCAAGAGTTTGAATTATTTACCTTCACAGCTCAGGACCAGATCTCTTCCTTTTGGACTAAAAGCCATTTATAAAATTTGGAGTGCCTTATGTGGAGATTTACCGCTTTACAGTATATTTCAGTTGGTGTTCTTAAAGTTGCTGCATTTTTTTTTTTACCCTTCATGTTACTATTTGACTTTCATTTTCCAACCCTGGACACAAAAATAACAATTTGTCGCTCCGATGGGCAACATTCATAGAGATTGTACCAAGGCACAGAAATTGACAACCCCCATCTGTTCAAAAATGTTGTGAGATGAAACCCCAAAAAAGACAAAGAAGACCCGTGTGCGAAGAAACCAAAACAGGCTCCAGGGAGGAAGCCAAGTGTTTGTTCTGGTTCAATGAGCCACGCAATTACACAAAAAACCAAAATGCGAGATGGACTATTGGCGCCTCGACTCCTTTCGGTCGGCGGTCTGCTGGGATTGCCCAAGAAGGGGCACCCAAAACAAACTGAGCAACTCTGGCGCGACACTGCCATCAATGAAGCTGCCGACAGAGCCTTCGGCACTTGATAAGCCTCCAACCCGATGCTGCCGAGCGTGTTTCCTCCTCACATGCGGGTCTACTATCTTAAAACATCCACATGCTTTTTTTTCTCCCCCTTTTAAATTTTTTTTTTTGGGTCGAGTTGCTTTCTTTGCACATCATAACTTTGCCACACTCGCTCCTGCCGTCCCTACCACAGCGAAGCGAATGACGGATCAAGCGCTTTTATCTGAGCAATAAACATTATTTCCTCCGCCTTATCATCTTATCTCATAGTGATTTGGCGCTTCTCGCCAAAGCACTGCCGACACCTCCAGGGCTGTTTTTACTCACAGGAAACAACTTGTACCGTTTGAGGCCTTTTTTTAGTACGAGACAGTCGCGATGCCTTTTTAAGTAGTGGCAAGCTTTGTGCGTGCTTTCAACAACAGCAGCGTGTTAAGTCTACCATTGTTTGAGCCTTTCTCTGGGGAGGACATCTCTGACCCAAGAGATTTAGTCGGAACATGGGGGGGGCGTAGGGGGGGGTCATGGTGCTGGTGATAATGGAGGCTTTTGTCTTATTAATACATCCTCTCAATACAATGCCTTCTTTAGAGTGACGGATGAACAAGCCTCAACAACATCGGAGGGGTCGTAGCAGTGGGTGAGGTGGGGGGGGGGAGACACAGCAGGCTGCACAACGGCTTTCAGCCACCCCCCCCCTTCACTGACCCTTCAACATCACCCCCGTATACATGTACGTGCATGCGCACGACAGCAAATGATGCAGAGCCCACTGTACAGCCACCGTCTTATATTTAATGTTTAACGACAACGTGCTAGACATTAAACACGCGCGTGCGCGCGCAAAGACGCGCAATTGCAGCGGTTGCCACATCTGCGCTATGACTTAAGCGCCAAACTTTGGAGGGGGGGGGGGGTTGACTCTCTTTGTTAGCATCTTTCGACTGTCACTCTTAAATGTTCTAAAACTTACCCCATGAGCGATAAAAGTTGACCTTGGTCCCCAGTGGCGCTCACATGTAGTCACCAACGTGCAGAACGCCAACAAGGGAAAACAACCAAAAGTTCGAGCTCTCCTGTTCCGATCCAGCGGATGACAATCACGACCGTTTTGGTGCCAAGACGCGCCGTCTGGTCCGCGCTGGTAGACGATCCATAGCGGACCAAAAGTTAAGCGGACTCCCGTGCAAGTCCAATCGAGTGTAGGGTTGCGATGGAGGTTTCCAAAAAGTGTCCCGCAGCGGTCTCGCTTTCTCGGATCCAGCAGCACGTCTGCCGCAGCACGACTGATCGTCCTGCTGCTGCTGCTGCTGCTTACTGAACACACACAGTTCACACACTGACACACACTCACACACTCCAGAAGCTGGGAGGCGCACGTATGACGCCATCTTATCGCACGCGCACGCACACCAAATACACGCGCTTTGTCTTACGCACGAACGCGCACGCACACACGCCGAAGTCTCGGCTTCGGTCGTGTGATAATTTGACATAGATGCATTTTTTTTAAATCAGCAACTCTTAGATTCCGCACAATAGTAGCTCATTTGTCTCAGCAGGAGGCTGCTCTGTCCCAAGTTAACCAAGCCTTGTTTCATGAACTGATGAAGCTCTCTGGAAGAGAGGTGAACATTTTCCCAAGACAAACAGAGAAGTCCAGAACTAACTAACTAACAAACTAACTAACTAACTAACTAACTAACTAACTAACTAACTGAGGGTTTCACGAGAGATTAACCAAGATGGCAACATTAGCCTGTGAGCGCTACACAACCAAATTTAATTACAACTGAAAACCTACGAATGCACCGATTTTTTTTTTAACCTTTTGTGGGGCGATAAATATGTCAAAATCTCCTGCATCGAAGCCGTGTGATATTTTCACAAAAACAAAACGAATACGAAAATAACGTCTTCAGCCGCAGAAGCTAATAGCATGGCTAACGTAGCGGATGTGCTAACGGAATTAAAAGCTCTTTGCTCTGATTTTGGGCAGAAGTTGGATGTTATTGACACCCGCCTGCTCAATGTGTTGAATTCAATTGAGGTGATTGAAAGAAAACTGACAAGTGCTGAGAGAAATAGTTCTGGCAATTCGGCGTGTATCGGAGAGGCTGAAACACGTATTGCAACCGTAGAAAAGGCGCTTCGCAAAACTCAAACCACTTCGCCCACTGCTATGACATGATTAGCCTCCCTCGAGTCCAAAGCTTCAAAGATTTAGAGAACATGGGTAGGAGGAAGAAAGAACCGAAAGTAATAACTAAAGTTAGATGGCAGGGGCATGATGGCCATTGGGAAATTTGGGAAAGGTCCAAACGAGGTTGACATGGACCAGCAATTTTTTTAATAGCTCCTGACGCCATCTTTTGACAAAATATGATTCGACAACTGTTCAACAATAGCATTGCACTTGAAATAGTTATATTGTATTTGATATGTGAGCAAAGGAGCCGGATTACTCCGAAATAAGAACCATTTCGAGAAGTCTGTGCGTGTATGTGTGTGTGTGTGTGAGAGAGAGAGAGATTTATGATTGTCCTATCTTACAAGAATTGCTTTTGTGTCGAGAACATATTACATAATATTATTACGTTACGTGACATATGACTTCATGTTGTTATCATTAGCAGGAGCAACATCAGCGGTGAATGTCACCAGCAGAGGAGATACTGAGGGACTGGCTGACTGACCCCAGTCGTGGCGCTGAGGAGGAGGTGCTGGATCTTGAAGGAGGAGGAGGAGGAGGAGGAGGAAGACGTGGTGGAAGAGAATGGAGAAGGAACCCAGCAGTCACCAGACAGGTGTGTCACACTGCCAAACTGGATACACTTGCGTTATGCAAAGCAAATTACAAAAAGGGTGAGACCTAAAATCACCGTCAGCGCACATTGGTTGGTAGTCAGGGCCTCACCATGCGGCCTTCGGGCGCACGCACTCTCAACCAAATTTTGGCCCCAGTCCAGTTTGAAGGTTCACCAAATGATTAGCCTATTGTGTCCTCCATTCCTCACTCTCACTTTGCATAGAGGATGGGTAGAGGATTCCGTTTAAGGCCTGCAAATGACAAACAAATAAACACAGTAGAAGTATAACCTCCTTGGCGGAGGTAATGCCTTTTACAGCCTATTTTTGAGGCCGTTTTCCCGAGTCGTAGCGTAGCAGAAATCAAGTCCAGATGTTCCACCTCCTCACTTCCTCTCTCCCTGTTGTAGATCTCAGTGTGCTGCAGTTTTCCCAAGTAATCTCGCTTCCTCTGTGAGCAGCTGAAAGAAACATTGGGGCTTTTTGCGCTTTCAGACTGTGACCCACGCCGGCGTTTCACTTGTCACTTCAGCCACCTTACTGACGAAACATGACGAACCTTAGCGTCTGACCCCGTGATACTGCGCTGTGTTCACCACTGGGCCTCCGGGGCTTGTCAGTCATCATCATTCACTGGGGGCAGGTGCTCCTTGTGTTCAGAGCTAATCACGTCTTCACTAGTCATTACTGGGCAAGTCGTCTCGAGTGGGTGTGATGTCATGTCTCAGGTGTATTGTGGTTCCAGATTTTCATCACGCTCCTAAGCAGAGTTCTGTCTTTCAGTCGCCCAAGGAAGTGGATTCTTGTAACATTAAGCCCTTTTTTATGAACTTTAGTGATTTTTTTTTCACACTCCAACCAACAGCGTCCATCAAATTGGTGATGAAGTGCTGCTGCCAGGAGCGAAAATACAATCCATGGTTTTACTGTCTTTATAGCGGCTCATGTCAAAAAAAAAATTGTCTTGGGGCTCAATATATAGAAGGTCCCAATTGTGCTATTCTAGAGCAATAAAAATCTAAATTGTGCCATGCTTATCACTTCATTGCACAAGTAGTGTGTACGATTTCTTATGATCGGGCTCGTGCCATTATTGGTTACTATTGAAACTTGACTTGTACAGTATCTTCTGGTTCCTGGAAAAGGTGCAAATAAATTTACCTTCAAGTTTGATAATCACTTGGGAGGACTCCCTTTAATTATGAGTGCATAGGGAGTATTCCCTCTGAGTCAGGCAGTTTTGCTCATACCTGGCTGAGTGACATCAGAGCGCCGACACCAGGGCCGACAGCTCACAGCATCCACCTGCGGCGCTGAGTGAGAGTTCACCAGTGGAAAAAAAAAAAAAAAAAAAAGCAGACGAGTCCGTGCTGAGGCATTTCAGCTACTTTGACTCATGTCGTGTCTGCCCGTGGTTGACTCGGAGGAGAACGGCAACAAGATTGTGAAACGCACACTCCCCGCCGCCCCCGCAGCAGCTGGTATGTGGAAAATAGTCAGGCTGTAAAGAAGCCTTTTTTTTTTTTTTCACACGTTTCAGGTTGCGAGTAGAGCGGCATGTGTCGCGGACAGCACTTTACGGAGCTCCTTTTAATGACAAGGACACTCGCAGGAGTTTGTCCACTGGAGCTGCCTGCTGTGGCACTTTTAGTTTAAGGGAGGGGGCACGAGTCCTGACCTCACTTCCTGTCGGGGCTCCTCACAAGCATTCCATTGTCTGTGAGAATGTGCACGGGCTCGAGGGACTCTGCACATCTGGCAGCTGTTAATAGCAGCCTCCGACAGCAACCAAGGCAGCAGCACCAGCGCACACGACCCAACCCCATCATGAGAGAAGATTGTGGACGTGCGCCTCGGATATGCTAATGTTTCACAAGCACGCATTTCACAAGACAGGAAGATGTTTTTATTTCACTTGTGACTGCCTCAAGGGGAAAGAATTGCAACAAACAGTCGTTTGCCTAACTTGAGACTTACAGCGACAGCCAGTTGGCCTAGCTCGCTCAGTTAACCTAGCCGCTTAGCTTAGCTTAGCTTTGGCATCTTGAGCTGGGTTCCTCATTGTGAACCACACATAAAGATTTGCAAAGAACGACTTTATAGGTCATAAAAGTACACCCTGAGTGCTCTCAGAATAAACCAAGGATGAAAAATCAGCGTTGACACATTCCACATTGGCTTATCTTAGCGTAGCATTACTGTACTAGCATTTCTCTCACAGAGGGCCATTCGGCGGTCAAACAATTCGGAATTTGACCGAAAATTTCAAGCAAGGTATGCCCCACATTTTCCTTGGCTCTTGCTTTAAAGCTTTCAAAGTCCTTTCAAAGAAATACACTTGGGCAACAATGTGGCTCAAGAGCGTCAAAACTTGATGAGTCAGCGATAACACCTGGCGGCTTCAGGCCAGCAGGTTCTTCAACATGAGCTTTAAGGGAGGGGTGATCGGCATTCTCGAGTGGAACTAATCCTTTCACTCGTGATATTCAAGGAAGAGTTTGGCCCATAAAGACCTTTCAGCATCTGCATACAGGAAGTTTGCAGGGGCTGTCAGTCACGGGATGCATATCAGCGAAACATAACACTTAACATCAGCGAGTTGGTCCTTCAACTTCCCCGCATAAGGACCTAAATTTAACTGATTATGTCGTAAAGCTTTGAAATTCACTTACGCCCGCTCATGTGAGCAGGCACAAGACAGAGGCCCGGTTCAGTCCCTGGCTTGCCTCTTATGCGCAGTAATCCACATAATGGACATAACAACTGGTTAGTATGTGTGGAGAAGAAGAGATTAGGTGGAAAAGAAAAAAAAGTCCCAGATTCGGAGATGGTGATGCGTATCAGAAAAGCCCCTCAATGGTGTAAAGTTGTTGTGGCTTGGAATCAGGGTGGCTTGTGTCTGTCTGCACTCCACAGCAGCGGGTCAAGAACTGCCTGTGCCACATGTCTCTGCTATTCACAGGTTTTTAGAAGACATCCGTGCACCCATGCACCCCCACCCCGAGACTATGCAGTGTTGTCTTACCGCTTATCTTTTCACCAGCTTTCTCTCTCTCTTTCTCTCTCTCTCTCTCTCTCTCTCTCTCTCTCTCTCTCTCTCTCTCTCTCTCTCTCTTGATCTCTTGATCTCTTGATCTCTTGCTTTTTCTCTCCGGCATAGAAAGACCGAATTGTTCCCTGTGCAGGGAGAAAATCTGAGCCCGTTTTGAAATTAGATAGAGGGCCATCTGACAGAATTGCGCTAATTACAAAATGACAATAAAAAGGGCAATAAAAAAGTGTAATCGTTTTGCATCTCTTATGCCAAGTTGCATAACTGTTTGGGAAACGGAAATATACCCGCTGAAATCCTTCAGCGGCTGGAATATCTCACCAGGTTCTCTCAGATCTTTTCCACGCTGCCACCATGAGGCACTCTAAAGCGGCCATGTCAGCGCAAAGCCCCCCATGCGCCGTCTGTCAAGTTGCACTTAAAATTTATTTTATTTTTTTT